GACAATTTAGAATCACCAATTAACCTCAACATGTTTTTGGACCTTGTGGGAGGAAGCCGGAGCACCCGGTGACCTTCTTACTGCGAGGCAGCAGTGCTAATCACTGCATTGACTTTAATTAATGTCCATATGTAACAGTATGCAGAGCAAATCTGCATACTGTTACATATGGACATTAATAACCTTGCAGTTATCTTCTAATCTTTGTCTCTTTCACTTCTAAATTGTAAGCCCATAAATAAAACATATGACCCTAGTTAGAAATCATACATTACTCATACAGTTACTGCTAACAATGAAATAAACAATCTCATTAAATCACACACTTTTGTTCGGCTTTACAGTACTACGTTATCTCGGTTAGTTGCAAAACAACACATTTCTCCGATTGTTTTCTTCCTTACTTGCACAATCGCAGCTATCACAGTGAGCTTGAGCGATCGCGTTTTAAGCTACCACAATAGCAAAAAGGTACACTCCCCAGAGAAAATCAACAGGAAGAATATTACACTCTGTTTGGCTTAATCTTCAGATAACAGCGAAATCCCAGAACATTTTAACTCTTGTTAAAGCAGCTAACGTCTTAAATCTAAGACGTTAGCCGAGGAGGAAAATGCACGGCTGATAAAACGTATAACGGTATGTAAAGTTGGATGCATGTTCATGTGAAGATAAAACGCTTGAGGTTTGCCTGATTTTCAGATTGACCAATTATTGCCATTTACAGTCACAATTATTAATAGACATTTTCTGTCACAAACTTCACATGACCAAATTAAACTGCTGATAACAGTCGGGATGTAACACATATACAGCTGGAAACAATGGTCAGTTGTTCCCTCAAACTACATTTGTGTTTAGTTTCTCTGAAAATGAGTAAACATACAGGTATTAGATTATGAATAGATGATTAGGATGTAAATAAATTACAACCTATAAGCTTACAACTGAGTTTGTTTTCCCAGCTGTGGAAGGCCATGTAGGTTCCCATTGAGTTCTGTTAAAAACTAACATTTGAGGATTTTATTTAATTTCTGAATGCAGCAAATCACTTATGTCATGTATTAACAATCCAACCAAAACAGTAATGAAAAGGCCCACTGACTGAGAAAAATAATTCAAAATTCTATTTTACTCACACAATAGAAAAAGAATAATATGACAGCAGTTCCTGATAATTTATAAGATAAATATAGTAAATGTAGTAAATAATCAAAAGGCCCACCGATTGAGAAAAAAATCTTCCAAATTACTCGCACGACAGAATAGGAATAATATAGCAGATATTCTTGATGCATTACGAGATAAATGTAGTTGTACAAGGTGCTTCAGTGGGGTAGTTAGTGGTTTATCTTGGTGTGGCACAGAGGCGATAAGGTTGAGGCGCGCGAGTGCCTCCCAGCTTGAACTCCAGACTGGGCTGCTCTCCAGCAGGTGGCGAGAATGAAAACCTCTGAAGAAGGGCGGTGAAAAAGAGGAACAACTCCATCTTGGCCAGAGGTTCACCAAGACACACCCGCTTACCTGAAAATACACAACACAGCAGGTGAGTCTCTTTGCCACAATTTATACATATTCACTTTTTTTTTTTTAAGTTATTTTTTTAGCCTTTGTTGGATAGTGTTAGTGAGAGAGAGACAGGAAAGTAGGTGGAGGACATGTGGGAAAGGGTCATGAGTGGGATTCAAACTCATGACCTCCACATTGGGACTGTAGCCCTGCACATGGGACGCCAGCTCAACCAGGTGAGCTATAGCAGCGCCCAATATATATATTCACTTTTAAAACTGATTATTGCTGCAGCTCTGGAACTAAGTAAGGACACAACAGGGACACTGACCTCCTCCCAAATTACTAACCACATTATGTAAGTCACGTGAAGGGTTGCTCAGAGAGAGAAGCGATGAGGTGTAGTATATTTTTTAAAAATCATTTTATCTCTTTAATGCCATTGACTAAGGCAGCATGCAACAGGATCAAAAGTGCTGACTCACCTGCAGAAAAGGGAAGGAAGGCCTCCCTTTTCCTAAATTTACCATCCTGGTCCAGAAAGTGCTGAGGGTTGAAGGAGTGTGGAGTTTCCCACATCGACTCATCATGAAGGACTGAGTTCAGTGTAGGCAGGATCATGGTGCCCTGAAAACATAAAAGACTTAATTAAACACATGTCTCTATAGTTCTTGTTGTAGTTTTGTACACAAAAAAGAAAAACGTATATATTCTGATCCATTTTTATTTTTATCGTCAAAGTGCAATGGCTGTTTTGTATGTTTTAACCTATACAGTAGGTGTAAACGAGCTTGTTTTCTACATGGATTCTCAATATTTTCTAAAATTAAATAGCATTCCAAATACATTTCTTACAGTTGTTGGGTGTAGTTTCAGTTATCAGCACATAGCTGAAAGGGATTGGTCAGAAAACCATTGTCGATTTTTTTCAGTCTCACTGATAAATAAGGGAAACTCTGTCTGCGTGTCTGTCTGTTTTTCTGCTATCAATCTACTTGATACTTGATAAGTGTATTGCTGAGCACCCGAGGAAGTTGACTTGAAGTTGTTTGGATGAACAGTGCTCATTGTTGGGCTAAAACCTGTTTTTCTGCAACGCTTTGAACAACATTCAGTGCATGTGGAGTTCAAACTGCCCCTGCTGCTACAGGCAACATTATCAAAGGCTCGATTCTAGAAAGTTGTCATAGATGAAATGCAGGATTTGACAATGTTGTCACGAATCAGGGGCAGAATTCTAGGAAAGATTCACAAAGGTTGTCAAAGGTGAGATTCAAGATTCTAGGTAGGAATCAAACAAGTTGTCATACATCAACCGCAAGAATTCTGAATGTTGTCAGAGATCAAACGCAAGGTTCTGGACGAGGTTCAACAATGCCGTCATGTATCAAAAGCAAAATCCTAGACAGCATTCTAGAATGTTGTTGCAGACAAAAGGCTACATTGTACAGAGTTGAGACAAATCACCAGGCAAGATTCTAGAATGTCGTCAGAGATCAAATGCAATGTTCTGGATGTGGTTCTAGAATGCTGTCATCTATCAAAAGTAAAATCCTAGACAAGATTGTAGAATTTTGACACAGAAAAAAGACAAGATTCTACAAAGTTGAGGCGGATCACAGGCTACATTCCTGGCAAGATTCCAGAATGTTGTCCCACATCAAATGTGAGCCTCTAGACAATATTCTAGAATGTTGTCACATTGTTTTCACAGAAGATTCTTGGATGTTTTGTTAAATCAAATGCAAGCTTTGGGACAAGAATCTAGAGTGCTTATGCAGATAAAAAGCCAGATTCAAGACAAAAATCTCTAGAATGTAGACAAGAATTAATATGTTTTTGAAAAGACAAGATTCTACAAAGTTGTGACAGATCAAATACAAGATCCTTGGCAAGCCTATATTATAATTGTTGTCATAGATCTTAGATAGGCCTCTAGACAAGATTATTAAATGCTGTCATAGATCAAAGATCAGACACATGAATGTTGCCACATATCAAATACATTAGAGTTTAACCACTGACAACAAGCACTACACCTGTTGGATAAAAGGATGGTTTTGAATCAATGGACCAAAAATATTTCACTTAAAAGCTGTACTGGCAGAAAGACGAACTTTCTAAAAATCCCAAAACAGTCACACTTAACATATAGATTGTGTACCTTTGGGATTGTGTAGTTACTCAAAGTGGTGTCCTTGTTTGCCATGTGTAGCAAATTGAGCGGGAGGATGTTGCCCATTCTCTGTGTTTCATGGATGACTGCATCAGTGTAGGGCATGTTTTCTCTGTCAGTCATGGAGGGCTGTCTGGATGAACCAATCACAGCATCTATCTCAGCCTGGACTTTCTCTGCACAAAGTGAAAGCAGGAAACAATGTCAGTCTGTGTGCTGAGAAGATGACTGACAGGGGAAATTACACATCTCACACCTTCTCCCCCAACACAGGACTGACCTGTGAGACACCTCTGGCAATATCAAGTCATAGCAGGATGCTTACAAAAGATGCAACCATGGCAGATATTACTCGTACACTCACTCTGTATGTCAGGGTAGTAGATCATGTACAGCAGCCCCCAGCATAAAGTAGTGGCAGTAGTTTCAGTTCCAGCACCAAACAGGTCCATGGTGCAAAAACACAAATTCTTGAGATCAAAACCAGCATCTTTGTCCTCCTTCTATCAGTGACACAAGAGACAGAAGCAGGAATCAGTTGACATTAGTGCAGCAAAAAGAAAAAACAAAACAAAACAAACACAATGAAACCCTCACCTCTCCCATTTCTATGAGGAAGGAGTCGATGTAGTCTCTTGGTGATGAGGGGTCGAGGTTTTCCTTGTGTTCTTTGATCTTGACTTCTATGAAGTCAATTAGGCTTTGTGCCAGAGTGAATATCCTCTGATGAGGTCCAGGCAGCCGCTTCATCAGCCAGGGTGCTGTGTTGTAAATCTACAGAGCAGGAGGACAGTTATCAAATCATCTAACAGGCAGTAATGACATTTCTTTCTTGGTAATGTTTCAGTGAATGATGATGTACTGTGTTAACATTAGCTTTCAAATAGAGACCCATGTTACTGCATGTCCATTTACCATTTTAAGAGCGGATGGATTTTGATGTTCATTTGAAAATATCAGCACACGATGAAAGTACATTTAATCAAGTACGGTACTTAAAGGCAAAAACGGGGTATTTGCACTTAATTGAATTTGAATTACATAAGTCAATTATACTTAATACTTCTACTCCAACATATTTCAGACTAAAGTATTTAGTACATCACTACATTTAAATGACAGGTGCTGTCAACATCCTATGAAATGCAATGCAATGTAAAATGAAGTAAATTCATACAGTATTTCACAAAAAGAACACAGAAGTGGCATATCAGAGCTTTGAATCTTGAATCATCTGACAGCCACTGCAATTCAACATGTGGCCATTAGGAGGCGCCTGATCCTCAGGTTGGGAAACTACTGGACTACACAATATCACAAATTCTAAAAATAAATAAATAAAAGTATTCGCAATATCATAAACACTAGAGATGTATACACATTCAGAAGTTGTTTTTTTTTCCCTTTTATTGCTTTTTAGCACTGAATCATGGTCAGATTTCTCTTTTTTTGACAAGAACCTTGTTTTCTTTATACCATTCCCATATGCTTCAGGTCATTGTCTTGCTGGAAACAAATCAGCTCTCAAGTTACAGTTCTCTTGCAGATTGCACTAAGTAGTCCTTCAACATTTCTTCATACTTTGCTGCATTCATTTTACCCTCCACCTTTACAAGCGTCCCAGGGCCCGCTGCTGCTGAGAAGCATCCCATATCATGATGCTGCCACCACCATGCTTCACAGTGTGTTTGTGATAATGTGCAGTGTTTAGTGTCCACCAAACATAGCGTCGAGTGTGATGGCCAGAAGGCTCAATTTTGATCTCATCAGACCATCAGACAATTTAACTGTACTCTAGGGATATTCAGTGACTTGGAAAGTTGTTTGTACCAATTCCTGGACTTGTGCTTTTCTGTAACATTTTCACAGAGTTGCCTGAAGTGTTCTTTTGTCTTTATATCCAGGACTGCTGATTCACCAGTGCCTGGACCCTCCAGATACAGGTGTCTTTACACTACAATCACTGAGAAACATTCACTGCACTCAGATGATCTCCACTTCACCAACTGACTGCGTCTCTGTTAAATTAGGTGAGTTACTTTAAAGAAGGAACATACTTATGTAGTTGTTTATTTTACATTCTATTTTTAATTAACTGACTTTACTTTCAAGAAACTGACGATCACTTTGATATGTAAGTCTTTTTTGTGAATTCCTCCCAATAAAGCAAATTAAATTGACTGTGATTCAATGTTGAGAAAGAATAAAAGCAGGAAACTTCATAGGGGAATGAATACAGTATCATGCTGCTTAGAAATTAATATAATGTAATATATTTACGAATCGCTGGCGCCAGTTTAACATATAAAGACAGCTTTTACCTTTGAAACCTTAAGCATATTTGTTGATAATATTTGTACATGTTTAATATTTATATTACTTGGAACCCAAGAAATGGTGAGTTTGAAGTCATTTTGATTAGCGTTGGTCATTTGTGTAGTCTTTGATGGCCATTTTGAGGTTCTTACCATGGCTTTGTCTGTGTATAGACAGAGCCTAAGTCTTCCCTGTCATGAGGCAACATCATCGGAGGCAAAGGTATGATGCCCCCTATGATATCATAGTCTGATAAGAGCTATACAGGCATCAGCAGAAATAGTAAGGGTCAGTTGTGAATCACTCTTTGTCTGGGGCCAATTTGCCATGAGAGACCCAACCAGGAGCTTATGATAACCAAGCTCCCAGGATGACTGGGACACACAAATCTCTCCATGGCAACAAGGTGGAGATTCAAGCAGATCCTTTTACAATATTGTTTTAAAAATATTCTTTTTACTTATGTGATTCGGAAAAATCCTGATTCAAACTCACAGTTACAGTTAGAGGATGGTATGGTCTGTTTACTAAAGAGACTCACCTGTCCCCACATACCTCCCTCCAAATACACCATCTCATTGAAGGTCTGAAGAATAAACTGGAACTGCTTGTCGGTGTACTCAAATCGATGTCCAAACACCAAACAGCAGATGATATTGGACACAGCATTGTTAATCAGTGACTGGACATTAAAGGGCTTTCCTGCAAAACAAAGGAGAAGGTAGGTAAAACACACAATCTTAGATGTG